AATCTTTTTTCGTGGTGGGGTGGCACGTATTCTCGAAGCTAATATTAGTCATCAGTTGCATACACGGAAGAACGATATTGTACACAATGTTATCGAATTCAGTCATCTTTAATGCATTTTCATCGATCTTCTTTTCCAGTTCACATATTTGAGTCGTCATACGGAATTCGAAATCGTACAATGTTTGTTCTATTTTAGTAGTAAACGATGATAAAATGAGTTCAACTTGATGACTATCTGTCGTTGTCGATTGTTGCGGTTGCTTTTAAGCTGCAGCGTAACTACCTCTGGCTAGAACTGGAGGCACTGATGATAACGATGGTGAGAAGGCAGGAACATCATCATTATAATCAGAAACCGTGTTGTATCGTTGCAGTTGCGACTTTCGCACTAATAATTCAGCACGATTAATTTTTTGACGTTCAGCCAGTAGCTTGCGTTTCTGTTGTACAACAGGACACGAGGGATGGCCTGCCGAATGCTCGCCTTGGCAATTGACACATTTAGCAGGATTTGTACAGCCGAGGTTTGTAAACGGATGCTGCAGCCCACAACGGATACATATTTGTGGTTTATTACAATGTATTGTTCGATGCTCATGACTAAAACATTTCATACATTTGTTAACACGAACTGGTTGATAATATGGACGGACATCATATTTCATTTGACCGATATAAATTTTTGTTTCATTCAAAATATCCTCAACATGTTTCAATGACGAAAAGTCGGCTCGGACAAGATTCAATGGCGAGTCACCGCCGTACATACGTGTCAACTTCCTCAAAGAACCGTATCTCTGTTGCAGTTCGCTTAGCACTTCGTCTTCGTCCCAGTTGCGATGAAAACGCTGGATAACTACAGTACATATTAAGTACATATACACGTGTTTCTTCCTTCCTCCCATACATTCTAAAGTATGGATTGGAACAAATAGTTTGAATACTGAAAACGACAAAAGTTCAGAACAAGTTAGTAGTAATAATAGACAGCAGCAACGGTTGTCAACTAGAATTGGTGAAAACAGTAGCCAAATTTCAGGATCACCGTTGAAAAGGCTACGAACACAGTCATCTGAGCGGGACCGTACACGATCAATCTTACAGGGGCCTGTCTCAACAAATCCGTTAAAGTATCAGCAGCAATCAACTTCAGCCAGACGCCATAATGAAGCAAAAATTAATTTCGACTTTCCTCCTATATCTGTGGTATTTAAGTCGCTGCAGAATATATCTGATCGAAATTTGATAAGCGAATTAATGACTCTATGGAAAAAATCATCATAGTCTGGACCTGAATCTTATTGGGCGATTTGGTTATAACAAAACTCTGCTACTATTTGCTAATGATCCTTCAACATTTGAAGCACTAATGGACGAAACAAAGTGGCCGGATAGATTGAACAATGTTGAATTCGAGATCAGATTACCGCGTACTTTCCCTCCGTCATATTCGTTAAAACGTTAACTGCGAGCATTGTTCTTATATATAATTCATAATTCTTTTAATGGCATACAAATCCTTTTCAATGGATAGCAGTAGACGCACTAGCTTTTCTGCCATTCCTGTCTTTGTTTTCTAAAAGGATAGTTGGTTTAAGCTTTATTGATAGAGAAAATAACTAATAAGACATGCAATCGGTCCTGGGGCCATTACAGCATGTTATACAATTGTATAAAAAGTAGGTTAGCAGTATAAAAGAAAGGGAGATAAGAGAAGAAGATCTTATAACAAAAATAGAAAAAAAAAAAGAAAAAAGAGTAAGACAGAAAGAAAAGGATAAAGAAAATAATAATAGACCATATGATGTCAAGTGAATAAAAGGAAGAAGTGACGAACAGTTGATTTACTTTCTACCATCTCATGCTTTTTTCAATAAAGTCACTCACACAATCGATTATCAATTGAGAAGTGTCTGTATTACTAGTCTGAATATTCAGCATAAGAAGTTCAATAGACAAATTAATAGGGTCTAAAAGTTTGAAGACTACCTTACGAATTGTATCATACAATTTGCAGTGAAGAAGAAAATGCTCTATTGTCGCCTCGCTACCGTCACCACAGGAGCACAGAGGCGAATTAGTGCAACCCCGTTCATATAAATAGAAATTCAGCTGCGGAAAATTACATCTCAAACGCATGAACAGGCTCTCAGACCTTCTGTTTAGAAAAGTAATGTGTGTGAGAAAAACGAGCTCCTCCCTTTTATCAATGAATGATTTTTTCAGTTTATACTTTATTGTGTTGATTTTTAAAACACACAGTGATGGAAATGTTATCAAGAAAGCATTCCATTCGTCTGTGGCTACCGTGAAAAAATTTCTAACGCGTTCAACTGGTACCAGTCGTCCCCCACTTCTTAGATTATATCGCTGATTTTGATTCCGCTGAATGTACTCAGTTAAATTAGAAGCTGTGCAACCGCGTATAATTTTTACATAATGTAGTAAACGATTGATGTAAGAAAGATCGCATAGGTTTAACCATTCAAAACTAGATAATACTCTTTCACTTGATGTGCCTTTCAAACAACCTAACACAACAAGACCAGCATGATACTGAATTGTTTCCATTTTTTTGAGATTGTCTTCAGTTGTGATAGAAAAAAGGACCAAGCCATAAATAAACAAATTAAGGACATACGACTTATATATCACACCAAGCGATGTAAAGGATAGTTAAAAGATGTTTGTTCTGTGTTGATTCATTTTAATATTAAAATCGTATATTTCAATTGAAGATTAGAAAAGTTGATGTGAAAAAAAATTCAAAAAGCAAAGGGGTAGACATAGAAAGTAATGTTAGTCTGCCCTGTTTCTATGTTCATAGTGGTATTGTGAAAAAGCTGATTTTATAATCATTCATCACTGGAAAAACAAAAAAATTCCAATTGTTCGGGGGATGCGCACCCTCCCGGTATTTGCGCCTCTGAATGTATTGAATCTAGCAATTAAGAACTTTTTGTAAGCTGATTGATACGAAGTGATGTGCCGTGATAAAAATTAGAAGAAAATTTAAGAACGGCGCAAGAAGTCATTCAAACATAATACGAAATGCATACCTAACACATTAAAGACGTCTGCTTCTTCAAGTCAAATTATTACACTGTTCGGTAAAACAATCTATCTTTTATACATCATTTTTTTCCGGAAGAAATGTTTTTTGAGCACCAAAAAATAAGACTTTTGAGCACCAAATTAATTATATGTCGAATGAGCACTGAAAATAAGACAAATGAGCACCCCAAAACAAGATATGTTTTAATAATTACTCAAACTAACTCAAACTCAACAAATCGATGAAATTTTGTATATAGAGGACTAATTTTCTATATACGGCGCTCGGTGCTAGTGTTAAAGTACTCAAAAAGCACATTTAGGCCGACGAGGAAAAGGTAGATCGAAAAAGGTTCGATCTGCTTTGATGTTATAAAGCGGTTGTTGTTTATATTGAATTGTTGTTCATTGTATTCATTATGTTGCATGTGATGAATTACCGCCATCTTTAAGATTCATTTGGCATCTAATTGTTCTTGTTCCTTGTACAAACATATCTTGTTTTTTGGCGTTCATCTGACATATAACTAATTTGGTGCTAAAAAGTCTTATTTTTTGGTGCTCAGAGTAAATACCTTTTTTTCCCATTCACCGATGCATGCGTAAAGTTTCACTTTTATTACACAGACGAAACTATTGTGTCTAAAATTCAACAACAATCAACTGCCAGTATTAAAATGGCTATATTTTTAAAAAAAGTTGGCAGACCTATTCTTTCAACATTAACAACTACAAATTCGAAGATGCTTCCTCCAGATGTAACAGAAGAGATAGCGCTTTTTCAAGTATTGCCAAGAAAAGATATTAACATGTCTTCATTCTAGTTGGAAAATACTGATCGCCTACCGCTATTATCAAAGTTTGTGAAGAAATACTTAGCTATACCAGCAAGCACCGTCGCAAGTGAAAGCGCTTTTTCAATTGGAAACTTTATCCTCAGAAATAGTCGTTGTGGCTTATCGTCGAAGTCAATTAAATTTTCCATGTTCCTGAGAGACAAAGTCTATAGTTGTTAAAAGCTATTGTTTATTATTACTATCGATATTTATAGACGAAATAAAATATAAATCTTAGTAGTGAACTATAGAAGAAAACAGAAGAGTTTGTGATATACTTTTAACCTTTACAGCTCGGTTCACGTTAGCGAAGAAGCCAATCTTCAAAAAAGATTCTTATCAGAGCTTTATAGTTTCAGAAAAACAAAACATTAAGGTTTTCGTATCTGCTCGTTTCAATGGCATGGTTGTCCAACTTTCAAAGTGTGTTTGTGCAGGCTTCCCAGAAACCTGGACTTCGGGAAACTAGTACGAACATACTTTAGGAGTTGAAAAAACACGTCGTTGAAAAGAGTACATACGAAAGCCTATAAAAAGTGTACGTAGAGGCTTTTGTGCTACCAAGCACATGTTCACGTGCCAAGACAAAATTGTTCACTATGTCACATACAGTCAAACCGTTACCGTTACTGGTAACGGTCACCCCCTAGTCTTGAGTACCTCTGGTAAAATTTTTAACTCGATCGGACGAAATTTTAGAGGGGTTATAATGTGGCACAATGAAGCCTGGTAGCATAAAAATAGTTTTCGAGAAAAACGCAAAACAAAAAAAGAAGATTCATTATCGATAATTGTGAAGTTACTTCCATATTTGTTACCTAAAGTCAAACGCTTTTAGGTAATCGGTCATTGCGCGTCCGACGGGCATGTGTAGAAACATGTGTGGCATATGTGCTAGTGTATGCCGACATATTTCATACTACAAAATGCACTTTTACCACACTGAACTGTGGTTTTTTAG